CCGGCCCCAGGGGACGTCAAGCGTATGGCCAAAGACATCGACCGCTAAAGCCTCTACGAAACCCATTCCAAACACCTTACACACCGTGACTGAGAAACAACCAGTGGAATTACTCAAACCCATTGGGAAGTCAAGCGTGCCACCCACAACGAACCCAGGTCACAGGAGGACCAACTCGATCATTTTGTTCAACGTCGATGTATCGACAGACTCATTGTTGGTCGAGAGGGAACGGTTTGACAGCCGAATGTGGACCGACTACTGTCAGATGCTAGGACTCCCTCCCCTCCCTGCAACTTTATGTCGCCTTTCTCGAGGAAGCCGTGCACCCCGAGATAAGCCACCCCCTTTACGTGTGTCCCTAAATACTACCAAAGAGGCTGAAGACACACTCCTCCTCTCGCGACAACCGGACGTTGTTAATGCCTGTAAAATTCGGGCCAGGCCTGACAAGCCATGGTCAATAAGAGAGGAGGAGAGAAAGTCAGCGGTTGGAAATCCCAACAGAAACAACACTATAGTTGTACATGGGATTCCAGAATTGCCAAGTGACCGCTCGGTCAAAGATCGGTACTTTCATGACGTCCAACAATGGCAATGGCTCTCAACCAAAGTTGGTCTCAACAGTATACCGGCCAACAGCGTCAGTAGACTGCCAAGGCCAGCGCACCTGAAGACCATACCCAATCCCAGACTACTCGCCGTCCAGTTCGACTCACATGCCTCCCTCACAGACGTTCTACAGGCATGGTATAATGCGAAGGATCGCATGGGTGGCTCAATACGTATATGTGAAAGTAAGCCTAGACCCACAAGGCAAGAGGAGAGACGACAACCACCAAGACCCTGGAGTCAGTGGTCGTCACACAGGCGCTGACCAGTGAGTTAGATACATCAAGTAAAGAAGCTACCACTGCCACAGCCCCCACCCAAGTTAATAACAAAACACCAAAAAACGGAACAATGCCAGTCCTATGAGGACTGGCGAGGGTAGACCCAACCACATAAGCTGTCATCCTGCGAAAATACACAACCAGACCTCCCCCTCACCAGGCACACTCTAATATGTATGTACAGCAACGTTAGGGGGCTAAGAGGGAAGGTAGCAGAAATGAGGACGCTGCGTGCACATCAGCACTCCGACATCATATTCATCACCGAATCCTGGCTCTCGCCAGACATCTCCGACGAAGAGATGCATGTTACTGGCATGGAACTCTTCCGCAGGGACAGGGAACATAGAGCAGGAGGAGGAGTGGCTATCTACGTAAACTCTTGTTTAAAGGCAAGGATGGTTAGCGATACGGCCTTAACCCAGGTCCCAGAGTCCCTATGGTGCTACTTCACTCTCCACAGTACCAAATATTTGCTCGGAGTCATATATCGGTCCCCCACCTGCTCCCCTACACATAAGGAAATGATCATCAAGGCTATCTTAACGACTTCCTCTGCAAATTACGATTCCGTAGTCATTGCCGGCGACTTCAACACCCCGTCCATCCTCTTCGAGACGGAAGGGAGACGCATCAGATCCTTCAATCAGAAGCTGAAGGATGCAATTAAGACTGCTGGCCTCTCAGAGAAAGTGGGTGATGCTACACGCTGGGGACCTAACGGAAACGCATCGCGCCTTGACTACGTTCTGACGAACGATGAACTTCTCATTGAGGATGTTTGCATCCAACCTCCCCTTGGCCTCAGTGACCACGCTGTAATCACCTTCTCCATGATAACTAGGGAGGCTCTGCAACTGGAGACGCCCAACACCTTCCCTTGCTACAGCAAGGCCAACTATGAGACCATGAGGGACTACCTCATGAATGCATCATGGCCAGTGGACTGGACTCATCTCACAATAGATGAACACTGGTTGGAGGTGAAGAAAATAATCACTGGGGCCATCAGTCACAGTGTACCAGAAGTAACACACAGACAATCAATGAGAACCTCATGGTTAAAGCGTGGGACAGAGAGGCTTATCCGGAGCAAGAAGCAGGCTTGGTTCAAGTGGCTTACATCACGCAGGGAGTCTGACTTCTTGAACTATAAAAGGATTCGCAATCTCTGTAACATTAGAGTGCGTAACGACAGATTTTCCTACCAAACAAACTTGGCAGCGAGGTTACAAAGCAACCCCAAAAACCTGTACCGCTTCATGTCAAGAAGAAAGTCGACCAGTAAGGGAGTGAATCTTGTCACAGGCCATGACGGGAGTGTGCTAAGCAGTCTAGAGATTGCCGAGCTTTTGAGCTCACACTTCCAAGCCCAACTCAGCACTGACACAAGATCCACACCGACTCGCCACGACACCGACCAGGTCGCAAATAACGAATACCTCTGTCACGTCTCTATTACAGAGAAAAAGGTGTTCGAGAAGCTATCTAGGCTACGTCCGGGCAAGTCCCCTGGCTGCGATAATCTGAAACCAGTGGTTCTGAAAAACTGCGCCGAGGTGCTTACCAAACCACTTCGCAACCTCTTTGAGCACTCAATAGACTCGTGCAAACTCCCTAAAGAATGGAAGAGTGCCATCTTGTCACCCATCTTCAAGGGAGGAGACAGAAAAAACCCTGGCAGCTACAGGCCGATTGCCCTACTCCCTATTGTGTCGAAAGTGTTGGAAAGCCTGGTAGCTGACACCATCTGGGAATTCCTCAATAGAGAAAACACTGTCCACACTGCTCAGCACGGCTTTCGTAGTGGTCGCTCATGTGCCACCAACTTACTAACTGCCTGGGACGACTGGACACAAAGCTGGGATAATAGAAAACCTGTACATGCTGTATTTCTCGACCTAGCCAAAGCATTTGACAGTGTCCCACCCACAGTACTGCTTCACAAGATCATGTCAGCTGGTATAAGTGGACCCCTACTCTCTTGGTTCAAGGAGTACCTGGAAGGGAGGCAGTTCTGCACTAAAGTGAACAGAATAAGGTCGGAGTGGAGACCGTCGACGTCAGGAGTATCCCAAGGAGCAATCCTAGGACCGCTTCTGTTCCTCCTCTTTGTCAACGATCTGCCAGACAAAATATCCTCACCCATCCTCCTCTTCGCTGACGACATAAAAATTTGGAGGGTGGTAAACGAAGAAGCCGACTGTGCAGCACTACAAAAGGACTTGCAGCAACTCGAGCTCTGGTCGTCGGAAAATGGTCTGAGCTTCAACTGGAAAAGTGCAAAGTAATGCACATCAGTAAAAATGAGGCAAGTACGACCGACTTCCAGTACATGTTGAGCAACCGTGCTATCACCAGAGTGTCCATGGAGAAAGATTTGGGGCTCAACTTCTCCGACACCTTGGACACCAGCTCCAACTACAAAGGTATGACAACCAGAGCGAACGCCATTCTACACTTTCTGCGTAGACAGCTTGGCGCCCTCACTCCCGAACTCTTCCTTACCATTTTCAAATCCTACGTGCGGCCGCACCTAGAGGTCTTCAATACGGTGGCTCCTCCAACACTCAAGAGAGACTCTAATCTCCTTGAAAGAATACAAAGAACTGCAACAAAATCAGTTGTGGGGCTAAGGGGAAAGACGTATCCTGAAAGACTTAAACACCTCAACCTATTTACCTTGGGTTATCGCAGGAAAAGGGGTGACCTCATTATGGCATACAAGATCGCCCATCAGGCAGACCATGCAAACAAATCAATTTTGCCTGCAACTGAACGATCTTCACGAGGAAACCCCTTTAAGATAGCACACCAGAGAGCCAACACCACACTCAGGTCCAAATTTTTCTCCCTGAGAGTATGTGCTTTATGGAATGCCTTACCGCGACACATCGTTATAGCTCCTTCAATCGACTCTTTCAAGAGGCGATTAGACAGTTATGTCACCTCGCATGGACTACCACGGACGTACTCAGGTAGTCACCAACCTCAGTACCCCCAACTCCCTCCTAACTACCACTCACTATCTCTCTCCTTAATACACCCACATTACCTACTAATTCTTCTGTAGGAACCAAACCCACGCGACCATTCGGGCAATTCCCAAATACTTTTCTTTCGTTCTCATTTCTCTCTTCACCCCTTCTTTTATTCTCCTTCCCTTTCCTCTTCCCTACATTATTATTACTATTATTTTTATTTTTAATTTTATTTATTTATTTTTTTTTTTTTTTATTTTTTATTTATTTATTTTTTTTTTACTCTTCCTTACTTCTCTCTTCATTCCTTTACCACTACCTTAATATTCTCTTTCAGGTACCTACACAGACAGGAGTCACGGTTGTTCTCTAAACTTCCCAGCAGCCCGTAGCTCCCTAATCACTCTACAAATTACAACCTACTAACCCACAAAACATCCACCTCACCGAAGCTAAAAGCAAGAAAGCAGAGGGGATTTCCTCGTCCACTGCAGGAGTGAACCGAACAACTGGAACCAAGCCCTAAGAACTAGACGCGAGAGATCAAAAACTACTAGTTTTCTACGCTCGCACTATCAATATTGGATATTGGATATAAGAAAATATCCTCTTTGGATGTTGCAGTGCAGCCTGAACAAGACATGTTTCAAAGTACATTCGAGACCGGCGGACAACAGCGATACATTCATTTTGTGCTCCTTTGTGACGTTTCATCAACTCGGGTTCGCCATACTCAGGAGGGAGTTTTCTGCCCCACATTCGGGGCTTTGATATACTGTGGCTAGGTTAACATCTTTTCCCTTACATTTTAGCCGGTAGCACAAGATTTAACATTTGCCAGTTTCATGCGTAACCGACTGCTTGACTCTCACAGAAAAGGCATTTTTGAAGTAAAGGATGACACCACTACCTCTATATGCTAACCTATGACTTCTAAAAGGAACGAATCCTCGTAAATATGTTTCACTATCACTGATATCAGAAAACAGCGTGGGTTTCTGAGGTTGCAATGATGTCAAGACTTTATACACAGAACATGGGCACACAAAGTGTATCAGAATTCTATATCTCTTGAACAAAAACTTTAAAAATATTCGTTAGTTTTACTGATTACATATTAGTTACATTATTAGGCACTTTTTCAAAAGTGGAGACTTCCGTATGAGAATCAAACATAGGATCAAGCATTCCCCCTTCAGTGAATGGAGATACAGGGTTGCGTATATTTCATCATATGCAGCTTTCGTTTTTCTCCTTATTTCTTTTGTGACTCCCTATTGGCTACAGTCATGGCCAAGAATTCATACCCCATTTCTCCGTCTCGGACTATGGGAATTTTGTGTTAACGGCTTTGTGCAGCGTCAAGATCCGAATATGATTTCATACTATGGTTGTTGGTGGATTCTTTCTCCATATCTTCAGAAGATATACACAGACTTAGTTCCATGTAAGTTTCTATTAACCTAAGTTTCCAACGGCAATGGATTGCTCTTAGTTTGGTTTTTAATTATACAGATCATGGTGGCGATATCTCTTTGTTTGGAAATCGTAGCAGTTATCATTTGATTGCATATATGTGTAAAAGAATAAGGCATGTGGAACGTCAAACTTTCTTTCTAACTCTGATCACATTTTGCCACTCTTGCTCATGTAAGTTTTCCTTTGTACCTTTATCAAATACTTTTACACACATTCAGTTTATGGAGCTGCAGCTTAAGCAGGACATTTATTGGCACTTCGGTTTTAGTCTTCCATCCTATCAGTGTCCAAGCTAGTCTTGTTTTAGTTGCTCTTCGATTCTGCCCTCGGTTTACAATAATAAGAATAGTAGTCCACTTGGTCTGTGTTAATCCTTTTAGAAGAAAGTTCTGTGAGTATCTTGGTTTTCCTTGAACGCGCTGACCGAAGGTGTTGATACTACGTGCTGAGGAGTTCAAGTTGTTGACCTCCATTAGCTAATAGCGACCACGTAGTACTAACTTTTGGTTTTCGGATTAATGAGTTTGATTATGACACTGCCTCCCCTAGACCTAATGTATGGCGTGCGGACATTTCAAGTATAAAGGATTGCGCAATTAGTAAGGATTGGACTGCCGACAAGGACTCATGGATTGAGAATGCATGGAATAGGTTTAGAACTCTATTTGAAGAGGTAATGACGCCATTTATTCCATGTTCGACTCCACGACGATCCTCACATCGCCTTCCGTGGTTTAATAAAGACATTAAGAGACTGTTAAGGCGGAGGAAGCGTTTATGGGACTTTTTCTAGAAACTAGACTGGAAACATTTAAGACTGAGTACTGTAAAGTCCGTATTCTCTACAAAACCTTGATTACACGGTCTCGAATGTCCTAAGAGAAGCAGCTTGTGAGGGATTCCCAAAACTGTCCTAAAAGACTGTTTGCATTCGTCAGAGGGGGACTAAAAGAAACGGCGGAATTCCCTCTCTGGCGACGGATGAGAAGTCCGACAGTCTGGCGGAATCTAATCTGCCCTGAGCTGAATGTCTCTGTGATTACAATAGTGAAGTCTTCTCTGTAGATCATGACGATGAAATGCTAAATAGTGGTGTCAGCACTGTTCCACTAATAGATAAAGTGTTCACAACAAAGGAAAGAGTCTTACAGTTGCTCATTAACCTCAGACCTGGAAAATCCCCAGGTCCCGATGAGTTACATCCCAGACTTCTATCCTCGCTAGCAGACATCATTGCTGAGCCAGTCACGGATCTTTTCAACATATCCCTAACTCAGACTAGCCTCCCTAGAGACTGGAAAGATGCCATAATCAGCCCAGTCTTTAAGGCCGGTAGTCGCCATTTGGTGTCCAACTATCGTCCTGTGAGTCTAACTATCATAGTTGTTAAGATTTTATAAAAAATAATTCGTGACAGGGTACTTAAACATGTGGAATCAAGCAATCTTTTGGCACTACAGCAACATGGTTTTCGTATTGGGCACTCATGTCCAACTTACCTCCTCTTCGCAAGAGAGGAATGGGTTGCGGCCCATGATTGCAAGCTGCCAATAGATGCCGTGTTTATAGACTTCAGTAAGGCATTCGACAAAGTATCGCATGTGAAATTACTAGGAAAGCTCTCCTCCTTCGGGTTTGGTACTTCACTGCAAGCTGGGATTCAGGACTTAACATACGACAGAAGGCAAAGAGTAAGGGTAAATGGGACACTATCCGGGTGGAAACCTGTGATGAGTGGAGTTCCTCAAAAAACAATCCTAGGTCTACTACTTTTCTTGTTATATATCAACGAATTGCCAAATATGCTCAACCCTTCGGTACTGTTATTTGCCGATGATGTAAAGATTTGGAGAGCCATACGCAGTGATGCAGATAGGTATGCACTTCAGACGGATTTAGATGAACTAGTAGGTTGGTCCAAACGTTGGTGCTTGGAAATCAATTCTAACAAAAGTGCAATAATGCACATTGGTCATAGCAACTGTTTCCAGTATTCCGTTGATGGTATACCACTACTTCCAGTCCTTGAAATAAAAGACTTGGGTGTCATCATTAGTCATGATTTGAAAACCTCGGCAAGCTGCAATGCAGCTGTAGTGAGGGGCTCCCGTACATTATGGTCCTTCCGCAGAGCTTTCAAATTTTTTGATGAGGACATGTTTAGAATACTCTACCTGCGTTAGACCTCACTTGAAATACTGCATTCAGGCAGCCAGCCCATGCCTAAAAAAGGATACTGACGCACTCGAGCGTGTTCAAAGGGTAGGTACTAAGCTTGTGGCAGGCCTTTCGAACCTGTTCTGTGAAGAACGACTAGATCAGCTAGATTTATTCCCACTGTCTTACCGTAGAAGCCGGGGTGATCTCATACTGGCATTTCGTATTCTTAATAATGACTTTGGTACTGATATGTCCTATTTTTTCTCTCTTGCTAGAACTGACTATCTCCGAGGGCATCAGAAGAAAATTGTAAAACCGCGATCGAATCAACTTAGCGTGAATCTGCGTTTATCCTATCTTGTTGTCAACGTCTGGAAGTCTTTACCTCAGCAAGCAGTATCAGCACCTTCTGTCAACGCGTTCAAGGAGAAACTAGATCTTCACAGAGATATCCTCTGCAAGGATTAACACAGGCCAACTAGCCTACTATCCTTATAACTGAAACTGAAAACTGAACTGAACAAACAATAGGAAAAACGCAGATTCACGCTAATTTGATTCGATCACGGTTTTTGGATTTTCTTAGGATACCGTCGAAGATAGTCAATTCTAGCAGGAGAGGAAATATAGGGCATATCAGCATCGAAACATTATTCAGGATACGGAATACAGTATGAGATCACCCCGTTTCCTACCGTAAGACAGTGGGAATAAGTTTAGCCGATCTAGTCGTTCCTCATAGGGCAGATCTGATAGATCTCCCACAAGCTTATTACCTACACTTTGAACATGCCCGAGTACGCCATCGTCCTGTTTTAGGCATGGGTTGGCCGCCTGAATACGGTATTTCAAGTGAGGTCTAACGTAAGTAGAATGAAGTATTCTGAACATATCCTGATCAAAACTTTTTGAAAGCTGTGCGAATGGACCATGGTGCACGGAATCCCTTTACTGCAGCTGCATTAGAGTGTGCCGAAGTTTTCAAATAATGACTTATGATGACTCCCAAATCCTTTAGTTTGAAAACTGAGGGTAGTGGTGTACCATCAACGGAGTACTGGAAACAATCTCTGTTGCACTTTAACTAGAGTTGATTTCTAGGCACCAACATTTGAAACAAACTACCAAGTCATCCAGATCCGCTTGAAGTGCATACCTACCACCATTACTGAGCATGACTGTCCAAACTTTTACATCATCGGTGAGTAGCAGCACCGATGAGTTGCACATTTATGGCAGTTCGTTGAGGAACTCCGCTCATCGTGAATTTCCACCCTGGGCAGTATCCCACTTACCCTCACTGTTTGCCTTCTGTCGCACAGTCTTTAATCCAGGCCTGCAATGGAGCACCGGACTCGAAAGAGGAGAGCTGCCCTAGTAATTTCACATGAAACACCTTATCGAATGCCTTACTGAGGTCTATGGACACAGCATCTGTTGGCAGCTTTCAGTCACGGACTGAAACCCATTCCTCTCTCGCAATGAGGTTTATTGAAAAGGAGTGTCCAGTACGAAAACCGTATTGCTGTGGTGTCAGACAATGATTTGATTCAACATAATTAGGTACCTTACCACAAATTAGTTTTTCTAAAACCTTAATAACTATGCTAGTTAGACCCATAGGCCGATAGCTAGCCATCAACTGGCGACTGCCGGTCTTAAAAACTGGACTGATTGTGGCATCTTTTCAGTCTCTAGGGAGGCGAGTCTCAGATAGGGACATATTGAAAAGATCAGTGACTACCTCAACAGTAATGTCTACTAGCAAAGATAGCAGTCTGGGGTGAAACTCATCGGGACCCGGGGATTTTCCAGGTTTAAGATTAATGACCAACTGAAAGACTGTTTCCTTTGTCATGAACACCTTATCCATTGGTGGTGCAGTGCTGATACCACTATTTAGCACTTCACCATCATGATATACAGAAAAAAACTTCACTAAAGCAATCCGACAGACACTAGGCATCTGTTGTTTCTACTCCAGTTGCGTATATGAATCAGCCCAAGGCCATCTGCAAGGCAAGATGGACTGCGGTCAATTACCGCAATAGTACAGATGCCTTGCTCTGGCTTTAACTCACAACTAGCCACTTTGCAGGCACCACTTTCATCATAGACATAGAGTAGAGAGTATTATGTCACCACTTTTGTGATCCGAAACCCTCTGTTTCCGTATACAGTAATACCTTGTAAGAAGTAGCCCAAAATCTAAATTCTTTATTGGGCAGCTTTCAGTAAGGGCGACTATATCAAGACCTAGTTCACAGATTAGAGTCTTGAGGTCTGTCATTTTATTTGCAATGCTGTGGAAGTTGGTATAGATTGGGTTCACGGTGTTTGGAGAATTCCATGACCTACCCATACAGGCCTTGAAAACATTCGTTTCCAAGACCTGACAATTCGAAAACCTATAATTTTAAGATTGTTTTCTCGACTGGTTTGTTGAGCCTTAAGTTTAGCGTCAGCTTACTTTCTTTTTTCCAGTCCTCGAGAGGCCAGTTAGGTCGGATGCGGATGTTCGAATTTCATGGTTTGGATGCACCACTGAAGAGTACATCTACTTCTTCTTTGTTGCCTAGAAAAACCTTCAAAATAATCTCATTGGGTTTGCCATCTTTTTTATTAACTAACCTGACTTCTTTGGAGATGTATTTTCACTTGGATGTTTCAGGTAGGATATGTCTGATGGCCGACTCGACCAGTTTCACCACATTCGTATGACGTATTGAAGGGTCCCTGTCCGCCAACTCCTTGACATTCCAAAAGATCACACAGGACATTGTTGGGAAATCCTTGGATCTTTTACTGACGGCCTTTCAAATTTTCTCGACAGGTTTCGTAAGCTCAGTAGTTTCAGTGGTAACATTTGGAGGTTTCTTTGAATTCTTTCCTGGAGAAATTCACTTGAATTCGTTGATCATCTTCATAGCGTCAATGCTGCTAATAGAGACGCTGTCTTTCAGTGGATCCTTGGGTGTCATAGTTGGTGTACCAGTTACTCTCGATTTCCT